ACCACTCTACAAGTCAGCTCCCCCGTCCCGCTCGGGCCCCAGATCACACAATCGTTGCTCCACTGCCGACGCTTCCGGCCCTCTGGACGATTGTCGCCTAGGACACTGTGCCGCCATATGATCATAAGAGCAACAGAGGCGACACGTACGCCGCTGACCATCGTAATGCACAAAAACTTGCGTTCTGTGTCCCACCAACGTTACATATGACGGGATCGGCCGTGGCAACGACATCTTGAGAGTATAGGATCTCTCAGGGAGCCCCTCATACGGCCCATCCTTCCAGACTCCCATCGTCGCCGAATGCACCCGTCCATAGCTACTAAGAGCCTCCTTCAGCCCATACACAGTTGCCTCGAAAGGCACATTACGCACCTTAACCCATGTGTAATATTTGGATACATCGTGCATGATGACGTCCACTGCCAAGTTGACAGTTATCCTCTTCTGGAATTCTTCAACGAGCCTGTCATACAAACTGGCACGATTCAGTTTGACGAAGATTCTTGGCATTCCATTCAGCGCCACACCGTATAATTCCTCTGTTGGTACACCGTAGACGTCTCTGATGTTTGGTAATAGGACGTTCATCGTTGCAGTGCTAAGCGTGCCTCTGGCCAGTTCTATGCAGACAGTGTTCACACGGCATACCCCTCCCTCCGCCATTTTGTCGATGCACTGCCAAAGAAAACCACCAGGGGGCAGGTGTAGCAGTCAAAGCGAGCATCCTCTCACACCAGTGCTTGAGAGGCGAATAATCTGCAGAATACACCTTGCAAGTTCAGTTAAACGTCTGACATAATTGGAATGCCTTAAATTACTCTAACTGTAGTACTAGACACATAGGCAAAAACACGTCATAATCAAGAACTGCATAATTCTGGGAAGATTGGTTCCAAACCTGCACAACAAAAACACTCCTTACGAAAGCTAGAGGCTAATCAGGTGGTGCAAAATTTCTCAATGAGAACCAAGAGCACAATCATTAAACTAAAAGATAAATTAGTAAGTCCAAGGGAACCTAGACCTAACGTCAGACCTCAGACCGTGGAACATATATTGGACTGCGGGAAACTATCAGTAGGAGAATGGATGATCAGGTCATTAATCATAGACCATGTTCTGGCACAGTGTCGCAGGGGGTTGATCATTTAACCTCTGATGGTGACTATTATTTGTTAATGTAATTTCCAGCATATTACCTAAAAATTATGGTGATGTACCTATGTACCCATAATGAGGTTTAATTTAAACCATACCACGGGCGGGATTTGAACCCGCGGTCAGAGAGTCTCAATATTCCAGACCGTCGCGTTAGCCACTGGACCAGCTAGCCACAATAAGATTCGTCCAACTAGGTATATTTCTACACCAAAGGAAGGTTAGCATAGGCACAACTGTGTCATTACGATTTCGTGAGTCATGTTGACGGCATTGAGGGGACTTGAGCTAGAGTTCGTCACGGCCACGCTAGCTGGAGATTCGTCTGTAAAAACTTGCATTTGTGGTCACAGTTGTGCCTATGCTAACCTTCCTATGGTGTAGAAATATACCTAATTGAACGAATTTTATTGTGGCTAGCTGGTCCAGTGGCTAACGCGACGGTGTGGAGTTTTGAGACTCTCTGACCTCGGGTTCAAATCCCACCCGTAGTATGGTTTGTTTGCAATCATGTCATTACGATTTCGTGAGTCGCGAGGTTTAATTTATGCTTATAATTAAAATTTACATTTGTTTTACATTTGCATTTTATTTTATATGAAGGTTTCCATACATATACTTTGGCCTGGAGTAGAGTACATAGGTTTGCTATCAATTACTTCTTTGAAACTGAGTGACATTAGGGTTACTAGAGCTAGATCCAAGATAAGTATGGACGCTTAGCCGAAGCTAAGCGATGTTTCCTATACCCCCGGGCACCAAGTTCATTTTGAAAGTTATTTCATCGAATCCTCCCACATGCAGTGGGCAACGAAAGAGATTTGAAATACTTAAGAATTCGCAAACGGACGAAATTATTTACAAACATTGTCTCTACGTCCACAGCAGGACTCGAACCTGCCAACTCTGTATCCGAGTCCATAGTACTTTACCTCGGAGCTAGACCCAAGATAAGTATCGAGTCATGCTGTGGACGTAGAGACAATGTTTGTAAATAATTTCGTCCGTTTGCGAATTCTCAAGCATTTCAAATCTCTTTCGATGTCCACTGCATGTGGGAGGATTCGATGAAATAACTTTCAAAACGAGCTTGGTGCCCGGGGGTATAGGAAACATCGCTTAGCTTCGGCTAAGCGTCCATACTTATCTTGGATCTAGCTTTAGTAACCCTAATGTCACTCAATTTCAAAGAAGTAATTGATAGCATACCTATGTACTCTACTCCAGGCCAGAACATGGTCTATGATTAATGACCTGATCATCCATTCTCCTACTGATAGTTTCCCGCAGTCCAATATATGTTCCACGGTCTGAGGTCTGACGTTGGGTCTAGGTTCCCTTGGACTTACTAATTTATCTTTCAGTTTAATGATTGTGCTCTTGGTTCTCATTGAGAAATTTTGCACCACCTGATTAGCCTCTAGCTTTCGTAGGGAGTGTTTTTGTTGTGCAGGTTTGGAACCAATCCTCCCAGAATTATGCAGTTCTTGATTACGACGTGTTTTTGCCTGTGTCTAATACTACAGTTAGAGTAAATTAAGGCATTCCCATTATGTCAGACGTTTAACTGAACTTGCGAGGTGTATTCTGCAGATCTGGATTTTTGCCTGTCTAGAGAAAACAAGTGACTTAATGAGTATCATCATCTCTTGTTGTAAATGTTTTAGATGTTCGGCCTTTAATTTCCTTGCAGCTATGATGATATTATTGTGATAGTTGAATATTAGACTTTCTGACATCATCACCCGTACGTTTTTCATATTAAACTTCTTCTTAACAAATGACTAGAGTTTGCTTAATACTTTCCTCCAGTCTCCATTTCCTAAATTTTTCAGTAGCATAGTAACCGAAATTTTTCTTCATTGAACATCGAAGTGTTGTCAGTTGCTCACTGGAAGACTTCGATTAAACCGGTTTACAGGTTTTCTGTATCCTCAATAAATACTATCAAATACAGATTCTAATATCGTCAGCAAAGAATAATATGATGCTATTATTTAAGTCAGATGTATAAATGAGAAAGATAATTGTGAAGAGCATTGTTCCTTATGGAACAAAACTTTTCACCATGACAACCACGGAATTTACTCTGTTCACAATTACGTTTCGAGTTGTGTTTTTAGGAAAATAATTATTCGTCTCCTCACTTTTCCAGTTGTTTCTTTTGCACACATTTTGTGCGCTACTACATTATGGTCCCACTTAACCGAGGCATTTACAAAATTTGAGTCCACTACATTTGCCATGTTGTCAGTCTTGCTGTATATCCATGAGTGTTATAATGGTCTGGTAATTGTGAGAGGCAACCTATGTGGTCCTGGGTTGTGCAGTTTTTGTGATCCAATAAGTTTAACAATCTTGCTCTGTAAAATTCTTTACAAAACTTTGAAAATATTGAACATCAGTGATATTAGTTAATAGTTTTTGGAATGGTTTTAATACAACCATTGTAAAATTGGGTTATAGCTACTGTTTTTAAAGTCTGTGGATGACTCCGGAGTTCAGAATCATTTATATAATTTTTATATCAGGTGACTGTTTTTTTTCCTAAATTTTCTGGGGCTGAAAGTTCCATGAATAAAGGTCTGGAGTTGAGTAGTTGGGCAAGCTATCAATGACTTCTTTGAAATCGAGTAAACTTAGGGTTACTTCAGAAATTAGTGCAGAGTTTTGAATCTCGTACATGAAAGCCTCATTTCGATTCTTAAAATTTTGCCCTATTAATTCTTCATTGATCACAGTATCGTACAATGACTTTTTTCTTTGTTATCTTAGTAATGGATCCATCTCCTTTAAGAGCCTAACGAAAAACTTAATTTTTGCTATTATGTTCTGCACCAGATTCTCTTCATTCGTGAAAATATTTCACTGGTATTTTTTATTATGTTCGTTTTTGTTATTTGCTGCAAAAGTGTGAATTCATTACAGTCTTCATTGTTCGTTTTAGTGAGAATTTTGGTTTGATGTTGGCTGCGGGATTTCACCTGCTTTTACGGTACAATATTTGTTACATTCCTACGTTTTAAATGTCTTAAACTGACGTTACTAAACAATAGGATATTAGGGGATGGACCGAGAAGATTTTGAAGACACTATGAAGTTTCAGCAGCTGGTGTTTGAACTGTTGGAAATTGTATCTTCTGGCTTGTAAACAAATACAAAAAAATAAGTACCAACTACCAGTATTTAATGCCAAGACTTGGACTAGTGAAGTTCCAGAACAGTTTGGAGGAACAAAATATAAATTTATTCACTTCATGGCAGCTCAGATAAATGTTTCCTAGAAGTGTAGCTACAGTTGTAGATTTTTTTAAATATAGCAGAATGTCTTGTACTGAAAGTCTCGTTCTGACACATACTTGAACAACAGACAGCCTGTTTTAAGACAGTGTTACTAACTAAGGAAATAGGGATTAATAATACAGAAGTGTATTTGAAGTAAATGTTAGAAAAAATCAAATGTAAATACTCACAATGTAATTCATTCCAATTATAATTAATTAATAATACCGATTTTCTACATTTTCAAAACTAAATACAAATACAACTACGTACTTCGTCATATCCCCATGTTAAAGAACGAAGTCTGAGCTCTAGTGAGATAAAACCAATGAGCATCTATACAACGGGAACCACTACTTCTGAAACAGTGAGCTTCCTTGATTCTTACCCACTGTAAAATGATTCTCATTATCTGTACATGATTCTCACCCACAAGACATTTATTCTCATAATCAGTACAATGATTCTTACCCACTGAATAACAACAGTAAACCATTTCTATTTGACCTCGGTCATTCATGCACTCTATACTTATAAAGAAGTTCGATTTAACTTACGGGAACATTGCTGCGACTGAAAATGTCCTCAGCAAAAAAGGCTCCTCTGTTGTCAAGTGCTCGCCAGTTACTGAGGCAGATCCTCATATTTGCGCGCTGACACAGACACACAGACGCACACACACACACACACACACAGACACACACACACACACACACACACACACACACACACACACATACACACACACACACACACACACACACACACACACACACACACACACACACACACACACACACAGCTATGAATCGACCCCTGCAACCACAATTAGGTGAGTACAGTTGGGTGAGTGAGTACACACACACACGTACAAAACCACACAAGAGATTGGTTGTAAAGGTAAAGGAGCTGACAGGAATAGAAGGAAAAGACACTGCAGTGGATAAGGGAATACTTGACAGTAAGGAATCAACGTGTGCTAGGATGTCACGAAGTGTCAGAGAGGGATCGTATGTCGAGTAGGGTCCCACAAGGGTCACTCCTAGGTCGGTGATGTTGCATAAGTGAATGACATGACAGAAGTGAAAGAGTAAGTGGTTTCCCTGTTTGCTGACGATGTGAAACTAATGAGGAGACTACAAGCAGACGACGATCAGGTAATTCGACAAGGGGATCTGAAGAGGCTGGAGTTTAACCACAAACTACAAAGTCTTGAAACTTGAGGAAGGACAAAGTAGACCGCAGACGGCGTACAGCCTAGCGAGTCAAAGCTGCAAAACTCTCACAAAAGGATTGTAATAACGTTGGTAGAATTACAGACAATATGTAAAGTATACAATACCAAATGCAACTAATGTGACATTTTTATTATGGCAACGTTTCGCTCTCCAGGAGCTTTGTCAAGCCGTTACAAACAGTACATGGACACAGAGGGTATATATAGGCTCAAAGTGAGGTGCAATACTAGCGGTAGTAGTAGTAGTGGTAGTAGTAGTAGTAGTGGTAGTAGTAGTAGTGGTTTTAGTAGTAGTAGTAGTAGTGATATAAGTTGTAGTAGTAGTAATACAATATGTTAGAACAATTAACTCGCACATGAGTAAAAGGATATAAAAGTTATTACTTGGGAAACAAAAATAGGTTAGACAAATATTTCTATTGGAGGCTGGATAGAGGCAGCCAGTTTCAATGTTCATTCTCGGTAATGTGCTGTGTAGTATTAACAGGAGAGACTATGTGATGGCAGGGTTTACTGTTTTCAGGAGGATTCTTGCTAAGACTTCAGAGATGGTGAAGCTGCCGTTGTTTTGTTTAACTGTATTAGAAACAGCTATTAGTGAAGATTCAAGACACTTGCGTCTGCGGAAATTAGATTCTTTGATCACTAGTTGGGTGACCTTGAATTTCATGAGATGATTGGTGGGATTTCGGTGTTGTACACAGGCGTTGTTCAAGTTATCGTTCCTACATGCATAAATGTGTTCATTGAGGCAGGTGATCCATAGGTATGTTAGGAAGTATTTCTTCAGCCTTAGAGTTGTCAGGAAGTGGAACAATGTGGAGAGTGATGTAGTGGATGCAGGATCCATACACTGCTTTAAGGAGAGGTACAGTCATTCTCTTGGAGCAGATAGGTGGACCTAATATCTACTAGTGAAGAGTATGGCCAGGAGTTATGACTCGACCCCTGCAATTACAAACAGGTGAGTACAAATATGTGAATACACACACACAGTGAAGAGGAGAGGCCAGGAGCTGTGAATCGACCCCTGCAACCCCAATTAGGTGAGTACACACACACACACAAAGAGATACGATAAAACTCATGGAGGAGGAAGAGCATGGGCTTAGTGGCGACCAATGAGGAGGCAGGACCAGGAGCTATGATTCCACCCTTGCAACAATAGTAGTGGGTTTTGTCTCAGAATGATCACTTTTTTGAGTGGGGGCTCCACCCCCCTCCAAAATTTTGAGTGGGTCTCCTCCCTCCCCCCTCCCCCCCCATTTTTTTAATGGGGGCTCTGTCCCATTTTTTTGGGACCCCATTTTTCTTATACATGTATACTCTTTTTCGCTCCGCCTCCTAACTCCGCCCGCTACCCCGTTGGGGCCAATGGGAGTTGCCAAATTTTCAGGTAGTGTTGCCATCTTTTTTTCTATTTATTTTTCCCGAAGTGTTGCCAACTTTTTTTTCATTTTTTTTTTTATTTTTTGAAAATGTTGCAAAATTTTAAATCATTTCTCCAGTGTAGCAAAATTTAATTTATTTCTTCAGTGTTGCCAACTTTTCCAAAATTTTCCATTTTTTTTGTGGTCCCCAATTCCTTCGAGTAAACAAAGCTTCCCCCTCACTTCCATCCCTGCGCCATCTTCTTGGATCGAGTTTTAATCCCCTTCATGATCCCACACCTCTTTTTCCTCGACATTTTCGACTTTTTGAGTTACTCTCGAATTCCGTGGATCAACTTTTACCTCGATTTTTCGAATTTTGGTGAGTTTTTTGAATTTTGGGGATTACCCTAAGATCGACCACCAACTCCAGGGTCAAGATTTACCTCGATTTTTCGAATATTTCAGGTGTTACCTTAAGATCGAGCTCCACCTCCATCATTGTAATTCCTTACCGCAGTACTGTGATGCTGCACTTAATTAACTTGTGGTAGACGTAATTAGCAGAAAAAAAGTTATCGTAAATATACCCTGTGTGTGTGTTCATATGTCTTAAGTGAACATGTTTAGTTATTAGTGTTCATGATGGTGTTCAAGTTGTGTTTTGGTGATTAGTTGCCATGACTACAGTGTTTTGAGGAGATGGAGCAGGGATGAGGGTGGGTGCTGGGAGATGTGGGAGCCGTGGAGGTAAAGAGGTGTGGGTGAGATGGAAAGGGGGATGTGACTGAGGAGTTGGAGTAGAGAAAATAGATGAAGTGCGGTGAATATGATTGAAGATGGTGCAGGGAGGGGTGGTAGTTGTGGGGAGATGGGGTAAGGGGCGGAGGGGAGGTGGATGTGGGGAAGCGTTGGGGAGATGGAGAGTGGGGTTGTGCCAAGTGAAAGTTGGGGATTTTTGTGGATGTTATAAAGAATGAGAACATTTCTTAACAGATATTGAGAAAAGTATACAAATGTACATGGAAAGTCTCCAAAAGTAATTTGGAAGTATCCAAAAGTAATTTGAAAGTCTCCAAAAGTAATTTGGAAATCTTCAAATGTTATTTGATAGTATCCACAAGTAGTTTGAATGTCTCAATAAGTAATTTGAAAGTATCCAAAAGTAGTGTGAAATGATGTGATTTGATGAAAGGAGGGAGGGGGATTATAAATGTGTTGTGGTGCCTGAATGTTGTAACATGTCGTGGGTATTAAAACAAATGAAAAGTTGTTGGAGCATATGAGTGAAAAAATGTTGGTCGTTGGTGTGTGAAGGATATAATGGAAGTTAATGTTGACTATTGATGAAGCTGATGGTGATAATGTTGATATTGATGGGTGCGGTGGTGAGGATGTGGCAGTGTTTAGTTCAATATTGACCGAAGAATCCAGGAATCAAACGCTTATCTCTATAACCAACAATATTAACCAAACAAAGGCCTTTCTATAACATAGCTAACACTTGACAAGAATACTTCTTCATCGCTTACCCCACCACATAGAACATAGAACACTGCAGAAGGTCCTGTTCACAACTTATTCCAATACCCCTGCCAGCTTCCCAAGATTTTAGACTCTAACCCCACCCGGTAAATCATCAGATGGCAGCATTCTCTCTCCACAGACCACCAACATACTGAACTTGACTATAAATGCTCTTGAACCTTGGGGGCACCACAGGTAGATCTGTTTTGCGACTTGGAAAAGCCCACTGTGTGGGGAAACTTGTCAATAACGGATCACAATTAAACTCATATTGTTTGTTTCCAAGACTTGATCAATGATGGGAACTGCTGCACATAGAAAAGTAATAATCGTAACCGTAGAGAACGTGGCACTAAGAAACTAATTCAATTGTTTTCTAATTCAAAAAGATAGATTTCGGAATGGTCCGAGCGCAGAAAGTAAATTTGGGAAATGTTGAATGAAGTATATAATTAGATCGTAAAGTGGGTGGAAAGTATTAAGGAACGTACAACCAGTAGGCTAGGACCACAACATAAGGTTCAAACCACTGTACTGTTGTATTTTACGTTGCTCATAAAGGACGTGAGCCATGAGTGTGCATGAAGCCCCCTTCATGAGTGGTCCTTGTTTGAGTTTCCCCGTAAGTCTAAATAACCACCATATCACTAATGTCCTCATTAACTTTGTTGTTATGCCGTGTAAGAGATTTGTTTTAGTGGACCAACGTTGATCATACGCTTCATTACTCATGCTAAGATTCTGAAATTTATAAATATGTCAGCGCTTAAGTGGACACGTATTAAACACGGCTATGAAATTAGCGAAGCAACCGGAGTGACGTCATTAGTGTCACTTGAGAGTTATTCACTGGGTAGATATCCTTGAGCCATTTTGAGTTAATTAGTGTGGGGGGTGTATTTTTATATTGTAGGTATTTTTGGGAGTTGCTTCTACTTTTTATGTATGCCACTGGTATGGGCGTGCCCTGGTAACTTAATGTGGGGCCTAATTGAGTGTGGTGAGTACAGAAGATCATAGTTTTTTTACCTGCAGGCTGGAAGCCAGCACCGCGGTGCCGAGAGATGGTGGGCGAGAGAGTATGTCTTCTGGCCGGGTTTCCTCCTGCTTCTAATAAACATCCAATTAAGCAATTCTTTTCCCTTACGTCTATGTTTCAAAGTTCTTGGACAAAATTCTTTAACGGTTTCAACCAACTTCTACTGACTATGTTACCGACGCTACGGCATCAACAAGGCGTTTCCATTTCCCATGTTGTGGCAGAACATTTCTTTCCACTTCCTTAAGAGGGGACATACGCAATGTCAACATTACATTATGCTAGAGCAAGCACATAATCTTTCATTTCTTGACGATGTTGACAACACACCATTACGATTTACAATCACAACTCCCTTGATTCTTACTGTGGAACTTTTGTCATTCGACATACGGATCTAGAACGCAACTTTCTCGCGTGTGTAATGAAGACATACTGGGCAA